TAGGGAATGGAGAAGGAAAAAAGAAGAAGAAGAAGAGTCAGAAAATGAAGGCTCAAAAACATAATCATTGTATTCAAACAATAATTGCCCCTTTTAGGATTTAATTTGATGCTTAAAAGGATTTTGTCAAATGTTTTGTAGGATTTATCAAGCCTTGTAAAGGATTTAACACTTGAGCACTTAAAATGCGTTTGATTACCAATATTTTCCATGGAAAATGTGTTTTTTTCACCAAAATTCCTACTTTCATACTATTTCACTAACATTTTTTCCATGAAAAACATTTTCCTACTCTTAGTTACATGGCCATATTTGCCTCAAAATCAAGGAAAATATTTTCTTAGGAGTAAAATTTTATTTTTCAGGGAATTCGCTATCTTTTTCTCTCTCTCATCTACCCACCAATAAAAATCGAACAAGTATAATATTTTTAAGTAGAAAATTAAATCAATCAAATATATTTAATTGACAATTTCCATGCAAATAAGTTCAAGGCAATTGAATTACCTATGATTTATTTTCTTTCCATACAAATTTCATGCTTGCAATCAAACGCATCCCTAATGAAATCCTTCAAAACTTAAGAACATAAAACCAGAAATTTTGAATATGATATAGAAGGATATTTTTATCTTTTTGTGCAATGATCTTTTGTGGGTATATAGTTTTCTCAAATAATTCTAACCCTTTTGCTTTGGTGATTGATCACCTATTTATAGGCCTCAATCAATACTCCACGCATTGACGCCAAAACTTCAAGAAAAAATTCAAGACATCATCGAAAAAGCCACCAAAATTCAAACAAAAACCAGTCCTAACTACTAGCAAAAAGTGTTCTATGCGGTCACATAGAACAAACCTATGCAACGGTATAGTTTGTCCAAAGACAGGGCCCAAATGACCATGCGGCCACACGCCTTTATGGCCTATACGGTGGCATAGGTCAAGGCCTCGGTCCCCTTTTTCATTCCACGCGTGTTTTATTGATTTTTGAACTATATTCAACAATATGTTGGTCCATATTTGTGGAATTTATTCCTTAACAATGGGTAATAAAGATCTCCCATTATGCAAAGCCCTCTGTGACAACATCTTCCACGTAATTTTGGGATGACATGCTACAGGATTACTTGCATATGAGGACGAAAAATGCTTGAAGTAGCTATTGATTGCATTCCCAGGATGTCTCCTGCTGGAAAAGAATTTTGCGAATACAATCTGTATTGACGAGAACATAACCCTGTTCCAACTAGTGCTCCATAGCTCGACCATTCTTAATTGACTTTAATCTGATTTTTGCACAACAGTCGTCCAACTCTCCTAATATTCCCAATTTTTATAGATCTGCGTTACCGTGACGAGGTTCAGAATAACCACCTATAAGAATTTTGCTTTTCAAAGAACAAAAAATTGATCATTTTTCCGTTTCAATTTCAAGAAGTTCACCAATTATATGAGCATATCCAAAATCTGCTTCCTTAAAACCCATAGCTCTTTGCAAAAGCACAGAGTACATAAGTACAAGCATTTGCATTGACCAATCAGATTAATTAAAGTAAATATCTTTCATGATAGAAATACACCACTTTGCAGTATACGGAAAAGATTCAAAGGCCCCAGAGTTCAAACTTTCTAAAGACAAACGACAAGAAAGAAAAAATATTGAAAACATAATATTGGGAGGGAAAATTTTAACAGTTTGAAAAAAGGAAGAATTCAATATAGAAAAATGGAAGAAAGAGAGATACCGACCTAGACATGGCGAAAATTGGGCGTGAAAGAGAAGTGCAGAGACTAATAAGCTCAGGATGATTATTGTATCGGCCACGATCACTATCTACAGATTGCCGGTGAATAAGATTGAATCATACTGATCTCACAATATTATGTTTAGAATCCGCCACCATCAACAATAACACCATCTTCACTCAGCTTCAATCTTGGTTATGATATATAAGAAACAGAAAACAAAAAATGGTCCGTTAATTGGTAAAGATCTTTTCTTAATGGGTTTATCCAAATGAAATAACGCAAAAGAGAGAGAATTACGGGTTACACCGGGGGCGAACAATGAGAACGGAAGAAATTTGGAAAGTTCGAAGTTATGGATTAGTACCGTATGGGAATTTAGAAGTGGAGCCATATTTTAAACGTGCGTTTTGAAAAGTGCTCTTTTACACCATGCACATTATTTCAAAAAATATATTTTTAAAGGGTGATTTGATATCATTTTAATACACATTCTTTAGCCCTTGTTTGAGCCCCATTTTTTGGGAAGAATGAATTTTTGAATAGTATATTGATGTGAAATGTGTGGTTAAAAAATAAGGAAAAGTTTTGGATTTACGTGTAATATTATTTTATCGAATAATATGTGGTTAAAATGATGTTAAAATACTTTTGAAAAATGAATTTTTTCAAAAGAATGGGGCTCAAACAAGGACTTAATAAAATAATATTACACGCAAATATAAAATTTTTCCTTATTTTTTAAGAGAGCTGCTTAATGTACAAAAACAAAAACTTTACAGATGAGGGGAAGATCATCTTTTGGCATTATTTTATTTCACATGGGACCCGCTCTCATGTCACACATCTGTATAACTTCTGTGAAATATTTTCTGTACAACCAGTATTATTAATTTTTTAACCTCACATTTCTCGTCAATCCACTATTCAAAAATACATTCTTATGAAAATGATGTGGCTCAAACAATGGCATTCTTGCTCCATTTTTTTTTTAAATATATCTTTTTTATTCTTTCTTTTCAATCACACATTCTTCAATTCAATAATATTACATATAAATTCAAAAAAAAAAAATCTTCTTCTTTAAGCCCCATTATAATCTAGGAATACATTTTGAAATAATAGATTGATGAATAATGTGCTTTTAAAATATAAAAATAAAAATATATTAAAAAATTGAATTTTATGTAATATTATTTTATTGAAAAATGTGCAACACCATCAACAACGTAGCACGAAACAAGAGATTCAAGCGAAAATCTTAAGAAACTTGAAATTCGAAATCCACCAAATTATGAAGGAATAAACTCATGAAATTTTATAATGGAAAGATGAGCAAAACAACGAAATAACCTCTTATTTTTAAGGATTTTCATGAAATCCTAGTTTAAGATGATTAAAATTAATGAAAACAAAGTTTAAATAAACTAAAATTGAAAAGAATCCAAAACAAATTAAATGACAAAAATATCGCTAAAACTTTAAAAAGTAGTTTTCGAGTCCTAAACGAACTCAAATGTTTGAAATCCATTGTACATCATGGATAAGCCATGTGTATTACTTATCTCGTCCTCCTCTTTTCGTAATGATATTATGAGCTCAAATCGAAATCCAGATGTTCTCTCTGTATTATAGGGACTCTCGGAAGATATGGCCAATAGTCGATAGCATGAAGGTTTTGTTTGGAGGGCGATCGGTGAGATCCCATTTTCTTCGTCTCTTGAGTCTTGATTTTTCCCCATTTGATTAAATTCTTCTTTCATTCACTCCACCCAATCCCACTCACTTCTTCATCTTCAGAGATTTCGACAATCGAATATTGAGTGATGGTTGTGAATATGAAGAAGAAGTGGGGGTGAGATGGTGGTCGTAAATAGATGAGTTGCAAATGCCGATAAGTGAAGCTGGTGAAAAAAAAAAGTTAATTATTTGAATGATCACTGAACTTTGTCAAGTGTTACTAATTAATAATTGAACTTAAAAAAATATTTCAATAAACATTGTCATGTGTTACCACTTCATAACGAAACTTAAAAATGTATTCCAATAGTCACCAAACTATGCACTGTGTAACTCATCCATCACTCAAGTGGAAAAAATCATTAGCTTGAAAAAAGGCATCGAATTGAGTAATGGATGGATAATACGGTGCATAATTCAGTGGCTACTAAGATGTATTTTAAGTTCAGTTATTAAATAATAACAACTTATTTTTTTCTAAAATCGACATCTGTGAACTGAACAATATGATAATTCAAGTGAATGAAGCGATAGTTGCCAATGAAAGAGATATGCTAGTCGAGAATTTAATGACTCCAAATATCATTCAGAGCTAATTTAGCCTTGTATATCCTCCATTTGGGAAGCAAAACTTTTAGTTGAAAACTAATGTCATCCACTTATTTTAGATGAATATCAACAAACGATCTATTTTTTCTTCGACTAATATAGGTCTCTGATTTTTTGTTTCCTATTTTTTCATTCATTTTCTTTGGTTCTTTCTTTAACATAGGCCGGTTTGATGGATTTAATAATTGAATTTAAAAGTGTATCTCAATGGTCATTGAACTATATTAAGTGCTATTATTTAATAACTGAAATTTAAAAATATATCTTAATGATCATTGAGATAGTTCAGTGACCAGTAAAATACATTTTTTAAGTTCGGTTATAAAGTAGTAACACTCGACAGAGTTCAAAAACTATTAAATACATTTTTAAATTCAGTTATTAAGTAGCTGTTGACATAAAAAAAAAAAAAAAAAGGATTGGATCAATCTAAACAATTAGCCCAATTAAATTTATTAAATTGGACTCTATAAAAATCTTTAAAATTCGGAAGGCCCATCTCACCTTTTAAATAAATAAAATCATAAATACTCAATTATTCTTTTTAATTAAAGATAATTGAGTGGTTACCAAAATTGATAACGAAATTTCCCCTATAAATAGGATCAATGGTCCATAAGATAAGGAAAAATAAGTGATAGCAGAGAAAACGTTCATAGAGTGTTGAAAAAAACCCAAATCTGGAAGAAGAGAAGAAATCCTCTCAAATTTAAATTTGGTGAACCCCAAGAAAATCAAAATCTTCTTCAAATGGAACGAGTTCAAGCCAAGTTTAAGAAGATCAAAATATTTTTCAAATCAAATCAAATCAAATTTAAGTCCAAATCTCGAAATTCAAGTGCCAGACAAATCAATTCTTAACAAATCAAATATTCAACAAATTCTCAAATATCAGGATTCAAACCACGTGTCCTCTCGTCTTCAAATATTCAGATCATTAATCAGAGAATTTTTGAAATTACAAGAAGGTTAACATCCTTGTATTTCTCAAAAATAAAATTCTTAACGATTTGTACTTTACTACTCGAAATTCGTCGTAAATGACCATTCAAATAATTAACCCATGAAAAGATGGAGAAAGGTAATTAAGATATAGCTGGTGGTTGAGGATTCTAGGGGATTTTTGTCTCTTTTTTTTTTCTTTTTTTTTTTTCAGAAACAATGGGTATTGTGCCTATACTTACAACAGGCGTTTGTCATTTATCGAAAGGCATATTTAAGAAAAGAGATTTTCTTCATTTACCTCTTTTCACCATGACTGTTCATGACTTATAATATTCTTTTTCGTAGACAAAATGGATTCTACTATATTGTTGTATATCATAATTCGTTTCTTTTCACCAATAAGTTTTAGTGACACCATTCAACTCTAACATTTAGTTAGTAGAATTATTCCTTCCGTTCATTTTAGTCATTCAAATTGTCTAAAATGACAAATTTTAATCCTCTTTAGATAATGAAAAAAGCAACAAAAAAATGAAGGAAAAGTTGTAGCTAAAGTCTCAAATCTTTTCAAAAAGTGAAGATGAAGTTTTTCTTTTATTCCTTTTTTCTAGGTTTTCTTTCTTTTTAAGTGAGATCATTTATAATTCTTGAAAAGATTTTGGACTATAACTGCAATTTTCCTTTTAGTTTTCTTTTTTTTTTCCCCCTCTATTTTAAGAGGAGTCAAATTTGTAGTTGTTGGTCTCAAATCATTCATAATAACCCAGTTTAAACCAAAATCGTTGTAAGAAAATAAATTGCAAATTTCAAAATAATCAAAAACGGAGAGAATTGTTTTTACCCTTAAGGGCTTAAATGTTCAGCTTTCGACCTAATCACTATGTTAAGCATCTACAAATAGATATAGCTCTAAAACTACTAGAATCAACTAAATATCGTTACATAATGTATGAAGAAATTAGAGATTTCTTATGTTTTTTCTCACCTTGACGCAATAACCACAATGGTAAACTCCTCTCATTCTCACACATTATACACTAAGTACAACACTGAATAATCCAATACAGATTACAGAGATTGAAATAAAAGACGAGGAGTACATGAAACGGCAGAGGGCCAAAACACTAACACACATAATGAACACTTCAAATGAAGACAAAAGAGGCAATTTATAAGCCAAGTCAAAAGTCAAGGATCAACGGTTAGAAGATAGCTAAATGCAAGGCCAAATCTCAACTTCAACATAAGTGTAAGAGACGTGTTTCCAAGAAGTGTTTTCACAAATAATTTGGCAACGATCGGCCGAGAGGACGAACTCTACTAATTAATTGAAAGATTGGAAATGAACAATGTCAGTAAAATTAGTTTGAGACATTTCTCAACCTTTTTTCTCGAAATATGTAATTTTTCCATCATAGTGAGTTTGAATCATGCAGATAGTCCAATTACATTATAACCTTCACAAAATAGTTCAATTGCATCATGACTCGTGACTCTTGAGATGATTAAAAAGAACATTTTTAAGGGAGGGAAAAGGAAATTTCTTAATTTACCAATCAATCATTGGCACATCACGTTTACGTCCCATGACATCATGTATATTATTCTTCCAAGCCTCATAATTTGATGTAGATAATGTCAACTTGTAAGAAATTATTAGATGAGGGTATACAATGTATGGAACACAATTCCATCCATGGAAGAAAATAAAGTTGACATTCGGAATTGACAGCTGTGGCATTTACTAATTAAAATAATATTATAATCATTCACAATCAGATAGTCCATTATGGCATACAAGGTTAATCTCAATTCAAGATCTATATGCTCGTACACTACAACTGTTTAGCGTGCAAAAGATAATACTCTAATTTAGAATACTACAGTTACTTGTTTTCTCTCTTAAGTGAGGTGTAAATTTTCTAAAGTTTGAATTAAGATCGATAAAGAATTGAACAAGATGATCTAACGTAGCCAGTTTCCAAAAGTTCATTGAACATTTTGATATTATTATTGAATCGAGAACGACCAAGTTATTATAGTTGATTGATTTATAATACTTGAATAGATCATGAAAAGACTTTAAAATTATTCATTTATTTACTTGGACATTTTTACCCAAAGGTCTTGAACCTTGTGTCTATTTTGTGATGCTTATGCTAGATCATGAATATGGACGATAATATTGAAACGAAAAAATGAGAAGAAAGAAAAGGGGATAGTTGCCAAACAAAAAAAGCACATGCAAAAACAAAAGATGACTTTTTGCAATTATTCAAAAACTTTCGAGGGGCTTTTCTTTGGGCGGTGGAGCTAGATAGAGAAATATAGAGAGAGAAACCTTGTCGTCGAAGTCGGTTTGTACTAAATTAGTCAAATAATGTCCGTACGCTTTGATTTTTATACTTCATCATTAATCTAACCTCTTAATTGATTGGATAACAAGAGTTGACCAAAATCTATCTACATTTATGTTATGATTATTTGTTATAATTGGGACTTGTTTGATTTAGATAAAAAATTTCTACTTTAACCACCGCGTATTCTTAAAAAAATCGCTATTACAAAATTTATTTATTCCAAAAAAAAAAAAGGCCCAAATAGGGGCTTATTATTAACAAAAACATTATTCACGTTTTACTTATTGAATTTTAAAATATTTTCAAATGTTATTTAAATTTTAACACATTACGTTCCATCGTTCAATCACCATGCACATTTCTTTCATTAGTCACTGAACTTTTAAATGTTTTCAAGTGGTAATTGAAATTTAAAATGTTGCACTTCATTACTCACTTATCATGTTTTATTAGTAATTGAACTTATACTTTCGTCACGCTTTACTCATTGAACTTAATTCTTTCAAATGGTCACTAAATTTTACTCTTAAATCCAATTGTTCAATAATTGAAATTTTGAAGTATAAAAAACCACGCACGATGATGACACTATTCTTTCCACTATAATTATCTTGTGACAACTAGAAAAATATATATTTTGTTAGTCTTGATTAATATTATTAACTCTAACTCGAAAATTTTACTGCTTGTTTGAGATATAATTTTTTATTCTTGATTTTGGTCTACAATCTCAATTGAAATTAAAAAAAAAAAAAATCTTCTATCCCATTGAATATATTTTTGACGACTAGAAAAATTATATCTTTTTCTTTTTTTTTTATCATTACAATATTCTCGCCCTAAATTGAGGGTCTCATTATCTATTCGATATTTCTTTTATTCCACTTTTATATCTAAGACAAATCTCATAGAAAATCAACTATGCTTGAAAATATTATGAATTTTAGCGAGTGCTCGAAAATATTTTAAAGTTCATTGAGTAAAGCGTGACAGAGGTATAAGTTCAATGACTCGTGAAATATAGTGGGTGAATGATAGAGTGAAACATATTGGAGTTCAGTGATCACTCGAAGGTAATTTAAAGTTCAATCATTAATAAAATATGATAAGTGAGTGATAAATTGCAACATATTAAAGTTTAGTGATCACTCGAAAGCGTTTTTAAGTGAGTAAAACGTGATGAGAATATAATTTAGTGACTTAGCTCTTGTTAGATTTCCATTCTTCTAAAAATTTATTTTTTAAAAACTCATTTTCACTAATACATTTTTCAATAAAATAATATTACACGCAAATTAAAAATCTTTCTTTAATTTTTAATCAGACATTCTCAATCAATTTATTATTCAAAATTTGTTATTTATGCCAAAATGGGGATAACAAAGGGCTTACAAAACATTTAAGTCCCCAATCAGGGGCTATACGTACACATGACATCTCCCCTTTTCTACACAAGATCTACGTTTAGTTACCGGGTGAATCCGTAGACAGCGGGACCCATCCACGTGTCTAACCGATGACGTAATCCATTGTTTGGACACACGTCCTCATTTTTTTCAATCAAGGGCAAAAAGCAGAAAAAGTGCACAAGAGCCACGCCGTGATATTCAATAAAGCTATTTAGACCTTTTACAAGTGGTCCCCACTACTTTATCGACCGCACATTTCTTTCATTAGTCACTGAACTTTTAAATGTTTTCAAGTGGTAATTGAAATTTAAAATGTTGCACTTCATTACTCACTTATCATGTTTTATTAGTAATTGAACTTATACTTTCGTCACGCTTTACTCATTGAACTTAATTCTTTCAAATGGTCACTAAATTTTACTCTTAAATCCAATTGTTCAATAATTGAAATTTTGAAGTATAAAAAACCACGCACGATGATGACACTATTCTTTCCACTATAATTATCTTGTGACAACTAGAAAAATATATATTTTGTTAGTCTTGATTAATATTATTAACTCTAACTCGAAAATTTTACTGCTTGTTTGAGATATAATTTTTTATTCTTGATTTTGGTCTACAATCTCAATTGAAATTTATTAAAAAAAAAAAAAATCTTCTATCCCATTGAATATATTTTTGACGACTAGAAAAATTATATCTTTTTCTTTTTTTTTTATCATTACAATATTCTCGCCCTAAATTGAGGGTCTCATTATCTATTCGATATTTCTTTTATTCCACTTTTATATCTAAGACAAATCTCATAGAAAATCAACTATGCTTGAAAATATTATGAATTTTAGCGAGTGCTCGAAAATATTTTAAAGTTCATTGAGTAAAGCGTGACAGAGGTATAAGTTCAATGACTCGTGAAATATAGTGGGTGAATGATAGAGTGAAACATATTGGAGTTCAGTGATCACTCGAAGGTAATTTAAAGTTCAATCATTAATAAAATATGATAAGTGAGTGATAAATTGCAACATATTAAAGTTTAGTGATCACTCGAAAGCGTTTTTAAGTGAGTAAAACGTGATGAGAATATAATTTAGTGACTTAGCTCTTGTTAGATTTCCATTCTTCTAAAAATTTATTTTTTAAAAACTCATTTTCACTAATACATTTTTCAATAAAATAATATTACACGCAAATTAAAAATCTTTCTTTAATTTTTAATCAGACATTCTCAATCAATTTATTATTCAAAATTTGTTATTTATGCCAAAATGGGGATAACAAAGGGCTTACAAAACATTTAAGTCCCTGAACAGGGGCTATACGTATACATGACATCTCCCCTTTTCTACACAAGATCTACGTTTAGTTACCGGGTGAATCCGTAGACAGCGGGACCCATCCACGTGTCTAACCGATGACGTAATCCATTGTTTGGACACACGTCCTCATTTTTTTCAATCAAGGGCAAAAAGCAGAAAAAGTGCACAAGAGCCACGCCGTGATATTCAATAAAGCTATTTAGACCTTTTACAAGTGGTCCCCACTACTTTATCGACCTATACTTCTCTGAAACGTGCCGCCTTTAGTCAAAAGTCAACCCGATTAGTCATGCAAATATAATATTACTTTATGCATAAATGATTTGAGAGTTGTATCATACACGTGGCCGGACAGGTGTCTCCTTGGAAAACTCCAGCCTCCGATTCCAGTGGTGCCGTCGCCGGAATTTCACTGTTGGGATCTATGATTTCGGACAATTTGCAATGCAAATATTTTTCAATTTTTTCTTTTTTTTGCCAGGACTACAGCTTTTGGCCTCGTTTGGGAGTGATTTTTTACGGCAAAAGAATAATTTTTCGACCGTTATTTCACTATCCTAGTCCTAATTTTTTACTTCTTCTCTCACGAGTGCCCTCCCTTTTCTCCTAGCTATCAAAAAAATCAAACAAGCCCTTAATATATTATCTGCTTTATACTTGTAAAGTCTTTGCCATGATTTTTCTGTCTATCCATAATCCATGCACATTTTTGTTATTTTAGCAATATCTATTCGTACAATTATTTTCTGGTCAGTGATGAATAATTAATTTCTCCGATTTGAATACGTACTGTGTATATTTCTAGATATGCTCTGGGCGTCAATCAATTTTAATATACCAAATAGAGTAAGATACGTGACAAACAATATAAGAAATAATATATGATTTTAAGCTAGTAATGAAAATTTCACAAGAAGCACGAACAACCATTTAAAGAATGCTGTTTCCTTGTCGGAAAATAGCAAAAATTGCGTTAAAGAAATTGATTTAAGAGGAAATTAAGTTCAAGCCAAGCACAGAGGATTTGAAAAACATTTAAACTGAGATAAATTCATTCTTGATGAAGTTACATAAATTCATTTGCATCCAAGATATCTTGAATATCGAAATTTAACATGTTGCTGCAGTAGCTCTCTCTCTCATCTTCATGACTTGTACTGCTGCTGTTAATATAAGTTGAGCTTGAGCGCAATGGAGTTGGACTTGATGAGGGCGTTGATATATTGACGGATTGGAAGCTGAAATTATTGCTTTTATTAGATTGAAATGTTGAAGTCTGATCATCGGACGGAGGAGGATCTATGATGGATTGATTGGACGGCCCGCTGTAGCCGTAATTTTTGACTGCAGGTAGATAATCCTCTTCCCAAATAGATGGCATTAATCCACTGCTTTGCCATTCATACAGTGGGCAATTCTGTGAAAAACCTTCACCGTTTGATTGCATCATGAGTTGAGATCGATCATCTTGTAGTGGGGTTTCTAGTAATTGGCAAGGTTGGACTAACGGGGGCATTTGGTTTTGGACAGGGGCATTGGAAATCTGATTTGCTTGAACATTATTTTGTAGAAGAAAATCTTGGTTTTGGGTTTGGGATAACCTTAGCAAATCAGGGTTTATTATATTCTGCATCCCTAATAATCGTGAAAAATTAAAATGGGATGAATTGTAGAGAGATGAGTTTAGAACAGTGGATAAGTCGAGAAGATCGAGGCGAGGACTGTGAGTCACAGGATCAATTCCCATTCGAAGAAGCCTTTTCCTAATGTGGGTGTTCCAGTAGTTCTTGATTTCATTATCAGTTCTTCCTGGAAGACGAGCAGCAATGGCGGACCACCTGTACATGGTCAAGGAAAAATGATTAAAAAACCCGGCGTTGCCTTTTCAATCTCCATGTAACTTAAAAGTCAGACAAAAATTATAAACTGACTTGTTCCCCAGTATACTATGCAGTTGAATTATTGTCTCTTCTTCTTCGAATGAAAATCTTCCTCTTTTGATATCAGGCCGTAGATAGTTAGTCCAACGTAGGCGGCAACTCTTTCCACACCTCTGAAGCCCTACATAAACAAAATTCAACAAAAACTGCTGAAATTCTCAACGATGAAAAACTTTAGTGCGATATTCAAAGTGCAAAAAATTCAAAAGAAAAGTGAATATACCTGCATTCTTTGGAAGGGCTCGCCAGTTTCCATAGCCATGTTTCTGTATATAATCAATGAGTTTTTGATCTTCTTCAGGCGTCCAAGGACCCTTCTTGAGTCCATTTTTGTCACAACATGGTGCTCTTCCCATGGTGTGTTAGCTTCTGATTGAAGGGTTAGATAATTTATTAAAATTTCTGATCGAATTGGCAGAGATAAATAGAGGGCGAGAGAGAATTTGTTGGTCCGAATGTGAGGTACTTGGTTTAGGTATATATATAGAGGGGATTGGGCTATAAGAGAACAAATGCAAGTCTATAATTCGGTGCCGTCCCAGTTAATCAATGTGGCAACGTGTCCCCGTTCTAAAATGATTAATGTGAACTTAACTCACTCTCTCTGTCTCTCTCTCTCTCTCTAGGGGAAAAGTAAATCGATCTCTCTTTCTCAAACTTTGCATTTTATGGTAGAATAAATGACTGACTTGACTATTAAATAGTAAGTGCATGTTCGACTCCATTGAATTTTAATTAGTATTCTACAATTTTACCTATATTTTTCAACTTATTATTTGTATTCACAATTCATGTTTGGTAATTAAAAAAGATGATAAACATTCAAATTATCGTCAGTAGTTAATTTTAACTATATATTTAATAAAAATGTTGTGTGTACAGAAGGATATCTCACATAATTCCTCCAAACAACCACATAGGTGGGTTCCATGATGTAATAAAAAAATGCTGAAAAATCACCTATTCATTGTGAGTATTCTGTAGCATTTCTGTGAATTAAATTTCTATAATTCATAATTTTTATCAACTTTTCTACTATACATTTAATCATTTTATATTAATTCGATTAAAAATCATATTCTTAGCAAAACCAAATGGGAATTTATCCATCTTCCCTCAAATCATTTTCGTGCGAGGTGTATCTCCTTTCTTTCTGGATTCATATTAGGTGTCACCAACAGCACAAGTCCACGTACCCCCTAGACCTTTGTGTTACGGACATTTCACGGCTTCTTATCGTCTTGCATGGCTTCAAAATCAAGCCGGCTTTATTGAGCCATGTAGCGTGTCATATTGAAAAGACTATTCAGTTCCAATCTTCGAGTACGATTATACAAGGTATTGTTTCTCTCAACATGGGCAGTCTGGGATTGGAAAACTTTTTCTTTTATTTATGTGATTTGATACATACGATGATGTGGTCCTGTTTTGGTATGGTTGGAAAAATTTGGATATTATATGTTGAATAATAAATGCTTTTATAGACTTTAAGTAAGCATTAAATTCATGGAGACAATAATAGAGCTTGTTGCTTGCCAACATATGGGAGCATTTATTGCCAAAAATGATTTACATAATATATTAACTATTTTTTTTTAAACAAGATACACACACATGGGTTGGATCCCATACATGGGGTTCACCTTCATGTGAGAGCCCCTGTACAGACCTTGTGCAAAGGGATCTGTGTGGGGTCCATCCTCATGTGAGAACCCCTGTACAGATCTTGTGCAAAGGAATCTGTGCAAGAGCTTTATTCCTTTTTTAAATATCATCTCATCTTCAGATTCTTCTCCAATCAATCCCAAATTATTTACTTGTCAATATTCGAATAACAAAATTTACTTTTAATGAAATAACTTTTAAACATGATCAAATAAAAAAAGTAAGATCTCATCAAAATGAGAACACGATAACACAAAATCTTGACTAAATTCTATTTCAAATCTTTTTAGTTCAATAACATCAACTATACCTAGCAAAGTAGCAGACCTTATACGTGGCATCAAGCAATACCTCAACTGCCATCAATTAATTTGTCAAGCCTATTCTATGTCATAAATCCATAGTTTATTAATCATCTTCAATCAAGGTTATACAATAGCTTTCTCACTTTTTTATGTTTTATACAAGGAAACTGGCCAGTAGGATGTATAGAAATTGAGGTGCTAATTACTTCTTCTATTCTCTTCTGTGTCAACTTCTTTTTGTTTTTTTTGTTTTTTATATGTGTGTGTGGATCAGCATTAGATATGGTACGACTTTGACTAGAAGATCGTATTATACTATTATATATGAGGACGATAAAATGGCACTCAATTCTTATTTTCTCATTTTATCTTATATTTTTAAATTAAAAAAAATATAATGAGTAAATAAATAAGTAAATGGAGAAACGAGGCTTAAAAAATCTCGCTCCAGCACCACCTTGCCTTTCGGAAATCAACCTCTTGATGTTGCCATCTATTTATATATTCAGTTTATTTTGTATTTAAATTGAGTTTAAATTTTCAAATGTGATTTTAGATGTCTTCATTAAGTTAAACAAATAGCTAACACCAAATACTTTCATCACAAATGTCGGATATTAAGTATTTGTTATTCAGACGTATAAGATTGCATCATAAAAGTTAAGGGGGCGTTCTCTTTTCCATTTTCTAGTCGTTTTCTGTTTTTAGTTTTCGAAACGTCCAAAACTTGTTTGGTACGTCATTTCTGAAAATGTATTTTCGAAAACAAAAAAAAAATTTATAACTGAAAATGAAAACAGTGTTTTTTCGTTTTGGATGTTTTTAGTTGAAAATGTCGAAAATACTCAAAACACGGTAAAAAAAACCCGCTACAGTAAAATTCCAATTAAAACAACAAAACTTTGCCATTTTCTCACGATTCCTCTCTCACTTCACTCGACACGTTCTCCAATAAACCGCACAACGACGTCCTCCGTCCGGCAACATCCTACAATCTGACGAGGTCCTACAATCTAGCGAGCAGGTACGTAATCTTCCTCAAAACTTGCTTGGAAACCACGCCCCCCCCCCCCCCCTTTGGTATTTTAGGGTATCTTGTTCTTGCTTTCACACTTTCTAAAATCAGAATCAAGAAGGGGTTTCGCCCAATTTCAATATCCTAAGAAGACTTCTTGCGATGAACTGTGAGTGCCACATCAAATACAACACGAGTTTGTCTGAAATGTAAAGGAACAGAACTAAAATATAGAGAAAAATTACTGAGAGTTGTGTGTAAAAGATTACTGAGTTCGTCTATTTTTTTCCGAGATTTGTGTGTGAGACACTGAAGTGTATAGAAAATATTGAATTGGCTTTAATTTTACTATACGTGTGATAATTTTAGAATGTTATTCACTTAAGATTCCTATTGGACCAGTGTTTTCGTAAGTCCATTCTCTTTCTACGAATTTTATTTTTGGTTTCTTGGTGAAACTGATAATCTTGCATCTTTTAATTTTTTGGCCATTCGGTCGGATTCTGGGTTTATGTAACGATTGCTAAAGTATTATAAAGTTATGGGAATTCATCGAGGATAAATTGCGGCCGAGGAAATACTGACTGAGAAGGATGACCTATGGAAGAGGACGCATAACAGTAATATGACTTGCTAAGGAGAACACTATATAGTTATCATATGTAATTAGTTGATGAATGAAAAATAACAATAATAGCACAAGGGATTTGTTATGATGATAGAGAAAGAATAAGAAAGTAAGGTAGAATTTGGATTTTTTAAATTGTGAGTGCATGATTAATTCAATTGAATTTTAAATGAATTTGAATGAGACCTTATTACTAAAAAGTTTGAACCCCAACCTTAAGGGTCCCCCACCGCCCCGCCCCTAAAGTATCATGAGAAAGATTAAATGCGGGACGTGTCCCAACAGGCCAATGAACAAGAGTTGCCTGTACACTGATGCTCACAAAGAATCTCAATCCATATTTTAGGAATTGAACCCTCACACTGCGGTTGCCAGTAAGGCTAAGTATACCACACATTTGTTCTTTGCACCACTGCGATATGCCCCGGGGGGCAATGAGACCTTCTTACTAGTTCTTATAAAAAATGGCTAAAGTAAAACGAAAAGTGCTCCAATTTCATTTTACTGGAAAAGAAATAAAAGTATATGAGCCGATGAATTTTAATACATTATATTTGGCAATCAATGACGGAGGTCATATATATATCTACATCAGTGTACGAAATTTATTTTTTTGTCATTTTACACAGTGGATAATTGACTTGTTGCAACAATTAATGAGTTTTGAGCATTTTGAACGGATCCTGGACTTCTGGGAAGAAAAAAATGAGAATACCATCATACCTAGGATAGTCACTTATCGTGTTTGGTTTTGAAGTAAACGATTGCAGAGATTGGGGAAAGGGACAATTTTGAATCAGTTTTCTTTCCTTGTGATGTCAACTTATTTGATTTTCTATATGGAATTTGTGGTTATATTTTGGTTAAGTGATTAATATTTATTCATCTTCATTAGAGAACATGGGTGGTCATAGAGGTAAGAATATGGAAACAATGTCATGATCCGATCAAAACGAACACGTTTTTATTGGAATACTTTACGATAATGTGAAACCAGGGAAGTTGCAATGTTCTACGTTCACAAAAGACTATTGGGACAAGATCAATCAAGAGATGATTGTTGCCACAAAATCAGATTACGGGATAGAAAGATTGAAGGGTAAGTGGAATCGTTTGCATAAGGTATATCGCTTGTTCTTTGACCTTTTAGGGCATCCGGGTGTTACATGGGATCCAAATACCAACGAAGTGGATGCTACAGAAGAAGTTTGGCAACATTTTTTTATGGTATGTGTTGTAAAAGAAAATTTTTAGCATTACTTATTTATGATATCATTTTTTGTTTAGCATTTTGCTTCACTATTAATGTTAGCGTTTTTTTTTAAATTGTAGATAAACAAAAGCGACTATAAGACATTTTGGACGGGACGAATGTAAGCATTACGAATTGCTTGGAGAGATTTTTAGCAGGACTACAGCCACTGGAGGTCTAGGCCATGCTTCTACTCAGCTTCCTCCAACTTCAGAGGAAGAAAGACGGCTAGAAGATGAGTTTTTGAGCAAGGGAGTGCACGTACGTGTGGAGAATGATGACGATGAAGTTTCTAATCACGAGGGCACTAGTGAAATTACTAGTCCAAATCCTTATTCAAATATGGCATGTTTGAACATCTTAAACAACATGGAAGGAATGTCTTAACGAGATTTATATGAAAGCAATAAAGGCTTTTAAGGATCCAGATTTCAGGATGACATTTATAATAATACCAAAAATTAGGAAAGGAACTATCTTGGAACTTCTTTGATTTGCCTAATTGGTCGGATTGAGTATTTTGAACTTATAATGTAGGATTGTGTTCTTTTTATATATTGACTATGAACTTTGTAATTCTCAACATTTACTACTAGTTTTATTTTTATCAATGCAGATTTTGGTATTTATACTTGTTGGAGTATTTTTATAAATGATATGGTAAGTACATAGATGATATGAGTGACAATGATTTATTATGTATGAATGATTTTGATGCGAGGAGATATACAATGATTTCTTTTTTTTCTATCAACTTTAAATTTTATATTTTTTGATCATATATTAGCTTAAAATTGATATGTAATTTATTAAAAAAATCAAATTAATTGAAAAAAAAATTATTAATTGATAAATTTTGCAAGGATTCCAATTTTTTCTCTATACATTCAGTATTTATTATTTTATTTTTGTTGCAAGAAAAAATAGTAAATTCACCAAGTTTAAAATATATATTATCTGGTAATATATTAATCTAAAATTATTTTGTTTTACTAAATAATCAAATTAGTTGAATAAATGTCATAAAACAATTTCTAAAATTTTTAAACCAAAGGCATTTTTTAGTTTTCTGTTTTGAGAAATCATTTTTCAAATTGACAAACTAAACACGTTTTCTATAATTCGAAAATAGTCTCTCAAAACAAAAAACGTTTTCTGTTTTCAAAAATTCAAAAATGAAAACATAAGCTTCTTTCGTCATGAAATCTGCCACTATCGTGTTTTACCAGTCCACACAAATTTGAAAATTCACCTTACGATAACATGGACAAATTTGGGACATGACCGACGTACCATACTTAGAATGGGACTCAAAGTCCAAACAACAAAAATATAGTCGCTAAAGCTTTTTCTTTCGTAAATACATGCAAAAATATTATCTCCTTCAATTAATTAAGTAATTAATGAGATCAAAATAGAAACTAATGAGAATTGAAGGGAAATAGATTATGGTTCACTAATGTACACAATAACCCAAATTAAACTTAAATAACAACGTTATTATATAATTAGGACACGCGTTAGCATATGATTATGTACATATCAAGAACTTCAAAATCACGTGAACAAGTGTCTCATTCTCACATAAATTAAATATTTATTTTTTGGTCAATAATATTATTTTAGTTAAGTAAGATATGATCTCGTGTTCTCTCTGGTTACATGGAAACTTTCCCATATTAACTATCCTTAAACAAAGGATTAAGATTAATTACGACGTGCGTGCGTGCGTGCGTAATTTTAGGCTAATGCCCCCATTCTTGTTGTCAAGAAGGCAACAGTATAATTAAATTATTAATGAAATCAAGCTTAATCAGCAGATAAGAAGATTATTTAGTTTAATTTATATAATCTTATACTCGAATAAGCAATTACTTGTCGCAAATCTAAAGTTCGCTTGAAAATAAATACCAGATTAAGTTAATTACGTTCCAGAGTTGACTAAAAGTAACAGACGTATAATTTTTTAGGTGGATTACGTGTTGGTTTTTGTTGTGAGCTGTTGGTTTACTCCAACAAACATTGAATATTAATGGGTTTTAGTGGAATAACTAATTATTTTATCAAATATTTTTACTTATAATTAGATTATGTGCTGTTTTTAGATAACGAGATCCAAGGAATGTGTGGATAGTATGCCATGTTGCTATTCTGAGCCATTCCATTTATATTGCTTAAGATTTTGTTTACGTAAAGAGTATATACAGAATATAATATATAAGTCGAAGGATATACACATACTGACATACGTGTATATATATATATACACATAATTTTTTGCCATTCCATGCAATATATTCGTATGAATATTTTAATTTAGTACAGTTAAAGGAACACCTGGCAATTCGAGATGTTTCTAGGAAATATTTTACAGAAAAATAAAATACTTTTTTTCAGGTGAGATGAGGGAAAACGAAAACCTAATTGATTTTTGATCCATTCTTGATGTATGAGGAATTCTTGTAGATATTTCAGGCGATTTCGTCTTTTGTCGTAATCGATTTTGTCGTTGGTTGGAGGTCGAGATTGACATGTATAATAGTGTCAATGTCTGAGTGTGCTTCTTGAACAGATTTTAGTAAGATTACTATCTATGTCCAATGTTAACACATTGAACTTCGTTGAGGAGATATTCATATTACATTAGACATTAGATGGTTCAAAATCATTTCTGAACCAATAAGAAATAAGTCTAAAGTTAGACCTTCGTTTAATTTAGAAAATAAAATTGATTTTAGAGAGATCATGTTCCAACTTTAACACATTCAATTTCGAGAGGAAATGTTTGACCTACATTAGTTCGTTCAAAATAAATTTTGAACCTATGTTATATAAGTCTAAAATTGAACATCTATTTAACTTAGAAAATAAAATAAAACTGAATTTAGTGAGACTAGTACAACGTTAACACATTCTATTTTATGAGGCTATGATCGTGCTACACGGAAATCGGAAAATGTCTTTAAAATGATTTCTGAACCAATAAGAAATGCGTCAAAAGTTAGACGTCTGTCCAGCAAAAAAATAAAGGTTTTTTTCTGTAAGAAGAAAATTAGTCGATTCAATATTGAAAAATGCCTGGGCAAGTAAGCACTGAGATACATCAAGTGTGAAATTTGTACTGGAGGAAATGCTCGAACTTGCCATTAAAGAAGAGTTCGGATTAGGCTGATACACTTTAAAGCCTTTTGCTCAAGCCTCTTCATCTTGAATATAATCTACCGCCCCTAATAAGGTAAGGTAAATTAAAATATTTGGAGCATGAAGTCACGGATCGACCTAGATTGTTTATTGCGGGTTTATTGTTATATTCTTGGAAGTGCACTAATGATATCCCATAAGCAGGTACGATGGCAAGCTTCCCAACTTATATTGTGCCTATGTTGCATATCTAACTTGTTGATCACATGTGTGGGGAAGGCTACCTTTGGGTGTCTTGAAACCTCAAGGGTTGAACGGGTGGTCCATTACACTTGTATTTGAGCTAGGTTCGCTCTGAACGTTGCGTTATTGATTATTCAACGTTGATGGCATACATTTCGGTGGAGAAAATTTTGGGACTGCCAACATGTGGCAAATGATTGGCATGCAAAGGGAATTGGCAGTGGAAAGCTTTGAGGACGATGGAAAAGGTGCATTCGTTATGCAGTTTTGCCTACTGTATGAACATTTGTTTCAAATGGGCATGACCAAAGCATTGATTAGGAAAACAAAGAGTGGGGCATTTGTGTGGACTTATTCAACGTGCTTAATAATGCAATAGCCAGAAGAGCCGTCCACTCGAGGTATTAATGCAGAGGGTGATAATGATGTCGAATGCGACATGTATGAGTTATTGCAGGAAGAGATGCAGGGAGAACTGTCAACGCCGACACATCAGTGAGATGATGCCGCAATTGTGGAGGAATTTTCAAACCCACTAGCATTGAAGGGAGTGCAATGCATGGAGAGGCAAAACACACGTTCGCTATGAAGGATTGAATGGGGAGTGAGTTACGGACTTAGAGAATTCCCCTACACATGTGGCATAACAAGATTGCTTATTACGGATTTATTGCTGTATTCTCAAAAGTACGCTAACGATATCTTATAAATAAGTATGATGGCAAGCTATGTTGCTTTTTTTAGTTTCCTGACTGCACGTGTGGGGAAGGCTACCTTGGAGTGTCCCAGAACCTCAAGGGCCCAATGGGTAGTTCATTAAAATGAACTCTTATTACCTACGAAGTTGACTTTCCATAGACCAGCATTTCCAAATCTATTTTTATATTATTAACATTTAGTTACTTAATTAGATTTAAGGTTTGTTTGAGTCTATTTTTGAGGTCAATAGATTTTGAAATAGTGATTTTCTAGGGATTTGTAGTTTCAAAAAAGTAAAAATTTTGAATTCACATGTAAAATTATTTTATTGAATAAATATATGAATAAAATTGAATTTAAATAAAAAAGAGTTTTTAAAAAATAGGAATCAATCATGCTTATTAATGTGTGAGCTATTATTTATACATGGGTCACAGTTGTTATACCTATAAATTACGTAATATACGCGCGATAGAGGAGGTCCTACATATGTTGATTCGACATCAATTATTCAATTAGATTGAACCTATTAAATTATGCAACCCTATCTTAGGCCCATCTCTCTCTCTCTCTCTCTATGTGTGTGTCCATTTCAAAGAAGATATGACATTCTAACTCTAGTCAAACCCCCCTCTCTCATCTCTTGCAGTCATTATCTCTCGTCCGACGGTTGACTTGACTGCTGGCTGTCGAAGTGTAAACGATCGTCGGACCTTTTTCTGGACCAAAAGTCTTTGCCTCTTAATGTTGTGTTGTGCGTAGGAAACACCTATGTAGAGGGGAGATGACCAAGATTCTATAAACCATGCGTCCATGTAAAAATTGAGGTCAACAACTTCTTTTTTCAACAAATTCACCATCAGATTGTAGATATCAGAGATGTTATTCTCCTTATAATTTATATTAGAGAGATTTTTATATTGAATTTCCAAAATCACAATGCATAAGGCTGATAAATAAAAATTCAAATGTTCCATTTTCACTCACGACTTTAATGGGCTTGCCTAACCCATCGTGGGCTGTGAGTAAATCGATGGGCTTTATTAAATCCACCAATTCTCTCTGCTACCTAAATTTCAACTTTCAACCGCACATGAACGCAACACAATCTATTTAGATAGGCTTCTCCGTGATCAGCAAGCGAAGATATGTAACATAAACACAATATAAAGAGGTAGAAAGCTCTTTATTATACCTTTATATGAGTTGTCATATCAGATGGATAGGGTAGTTCTTTAGATATGTGACTATGAGCTCTTATTACTTACTATGACTTTCTATAAACCAATATTTCCAACTCTATTTTTATTATTAACATTTAATTACTTAATTAGATTTAATGCTTATTTGAGTCTTTTTTTGGGTTAATAAATTTTCAAAGAATGATTTTTTGAGAATTTGTAGTTAAAAAATTGGTAAAAATTCTAAATTTAGGTGTGAAATTATTTTATTGAGTGAATGTATGATTGAAAATGAATTTTTAAAAAAAAAGGATTTTATAGGAATCAAACAAGCTTATTAATGTGTGAGTTATTATTCATACACGGATCACGTTTATTATATCTATAAATTATATAGCATACACGTGACAGAAAGTGTCCTACATATGTCGATTCGGCATCAATTATTAAATTGGATTGGACCTATTAAATTATACAACCTCATCTTGGGCCATCTTTTCGATAATTTACTTGATCGTCGGAGTAAAAACGGTTGTTGAACTTTTTTTTTAATTGATGGCATTTGTCTTTTAACCATGTATTCTAGTGTGCAGAAAATGCTTATGTGAAGTGGAGATGACCGAGATTCTGTTGACCATGCGTCCATGCAAAATTGAGGTCGTCAACATTTTTTTCCCAACAAATTACAGACATTAGATATGTTAGAGTTGTAGGGTTTTTAATTTATCATGTGTGCCTATATATTTAATTAATTGTGTATAAATGTTATCTTAAGGTTAAGCCCAATTACAGTGATCTAACAAAGAATTAAAGTTATAGACTTTAAGATAAAACATGCCGAATAGGAAGATTCAAAACCCCAATCAAAATCAATAATCATTTAAGCATTCAAGATTAAAGATTAAGAAGCAAAACATGAAGAGATTGCACTTGATCTTTAAAATTCAAGATTTGAAATCAAGATCCAGTAATAAAGAACCATTCATAATTAAATTAAGGTATGTTCTACTTTTAATAATTCTCTTGATGATATAATTGAAAGATCTTGACAATAAAATAATTAGGTTTTCAAATTCTTGAGATTTAGAGTTTCATAAAATTATAATAAGAGCCTTACTAGAATTTCTAATAGAGAAATTTTTATATCGAATTTCTCAAATCACAATGTATAAGGTTGGTGGATAACAATTCGAATGTTCTATTTTCACTCAATGACTTTAATGGGCCTGCCTAACCCATCGTGGGCTGTGGATAGATCAATGGGCTGTACTGAATCCATCAACTCTCTCTGCTACTTAGGAGTTCAACTATCAACCACACACAAACGCAACACAATCCATTCAGATAGGCTTCTCTGTGACTCTTCCTCCGTTAAAGCACAAAAAATTGTCGTACAAATTACGAAGTTATGAATACAGCCATTCCTTGTGCGGGGAAATATCAATTATCATCTCTCTCCAATTTTTCCAGAACTATAAAAATACAGTCCGACACTACTGTATCATTCAATGTTTCTCGCAGAAGAAGCAATCTTTCCTTGAGAGCATGTGCAGAGAAGAAGAGCGGACCGCGTGGTTTTTTAACTCTTGAAGAGGCTGGTTTGGTTGAAATTTCCGGCCTCAGCAGCCATGAGCGGTTTTTATGTCGATTAACGGTGAATTTACCGCAATTTTTTTATTTTTTTTATTTTTTTGTGATTGTAAACAGATTTGAGAGGTATTTAGTTTAGGACTAACATTGTAGAACTTTTGCAGATATCGTCGCTGAATCTACTGAGAGTGATTTCGGAGCAGGAAGGATGTTCAATTGAGGAGCTGAATGCGGGGAAGATTTGTGATTGGTTTGTCAAGGATAAGCTCAAGAGAGAACAGAATTTGGACTCTGCTGTTCTCCAATGGGATGATTCCGAATTCCTAATGTAAAAATTTCCTTCCCTTTTCTTTGGTTTATCTGTTTACCAACATTACAGTCCCAGAAGTATTATTATTGAATTAAGAAAGAATATTAGGGAACGCATTTTAGCCCATTTTGGCTCTCATCAAATTAAAATTCATTTTTGTCTAACCACACGTCCTAGATAAAATAATATCTCTTCTTATCAACCTTAGTGACACATTTTAGCCCTATTTGACTCTCATTAAATTAAAATTTATTTATTTTTGTCTTCCTATCCATCATATATCCTTCAATAAAATAATCACTCTTTTTATTAACTACTCATCCTTTAATAAAATAATATTATACGTAAATTTAAAAAAATTTCCATTCTTTTTAATGATACATTCTTCAAAAAATTTACTATTCATTTTATTATAGGACCCGTTTAGTGGGGATTTTGAGAATTGATTTTTTGATCGTTAGAAGAAAAATGGGGTCCACATGTGAGAGAAAAAGTCAAAAATTACGGTTTCAATAGTAAAATAACGATCAAAAAATCAATTTTTTTGAGCAAAAAATCCCTACCAAACGGGCCATAATTTGAAAAAATGGAGCCTAATCAAGGGCTTTATCTCGTCATCCACTCTTTGCTTCTGTGATCAAAATGTTTCTTTGCCCCCTATTTGCTCATTTTTTCTTTTATTTTATTTTCTCTCTTATTTCAACCATATAATCTTTCATAAGATAATATTACAAGCAAATCGAAAATTTTCCACCTTTTTTAATCATATATTTCCTAAAAAATACTATCTCAAACATTAAAATTTGAAAAAATAAATATAAAGGGCG